CTTATCTCACTGCGCGCGAGGCAACTGCGTCATGCATTATGGGCAAAAGGTCAAAGGTAACAAGGTGACCAATTTATTATGTTATACAAAAAAGAAACGAAAAAGCAAATAATGTTAGTACATGTTATTATGTGTCAGAAGAGGGCTTAGGAAATAATAATACCAACAAAAAATAAAAATAAAAATTGACCAAAAGGGCACTTGGGGCCAAGGAGCAAAAGGGGCAGGTGCTCAAGCACCCCTAGCAGCCCCTCTCCCCTTTCCGTCCCCCTGCAAGTGCCTGGAAATTATTGACTAGAAAACACCTGAACACACTGTAACACCACCAACACCACAGACTCCTTTGGTGACAACAATGGCGCCTCAAAGCGCATCCATCCAGGTTTCCCTCGGTGTATTAGCCTGGTGTTTTCACCAGGCTAAGCATTGTTAATTTATCTTTAAAAAAAAAAAAAAAGATATTGCCTTTCTAAGCTTTTTAAGACTTTATAACTGGTGTTTAGGTATTAATATCCCAGTCTTCCACAAAAGCATAACTACCAAGTGATATTTTCAAATTTCCTGTCAACTTTAAACATTTTTTTAAACTCAAAAACATGGAGGCCAGCTGGATGACTGACCTAGCGCCCCGAGCATCGGGCTTAGCACAAACGGGCGAAACCGTGTACATACATAGAATTGTTCCAGTCCATCAATTAAATCAGATGTACCTTAGCGAATGTGCATCTACATCCGCCATAGGCATATCCGAATCTCAGCAACACTGTCGGTGAACCAGCTTTGTGTCAGTGGATCCTGGCTTTTCACACCCCTAAAAATATCTCTCACCAAGTGTGCGGATCAAAGGGGGCAGCAGCCCTGCTATGAATACCCCTCCGGTATTTAACCTAAAGCCTCCCCTCAGCGGAGGCTTCCAGGGAGGGGACAAGAGCAAAGAGCCCGCCGCTCCACATCCAGAGCACAGAAGAGGAAGGCGGACTTTGAAATGAGCGCATTGAAGGTGAGCTGATCATAAAAATATATCAGAGCTCTTTTCTAACGAGGAAAGTTATTTGGACAAACGAAGGACAAAACCGACAAAAGATTTCGTTGGAATTTGGAACCTCGAATTTATTTATTTTTTTTTATTTTATTTATTTTTTTTTATGAAAAAGCCTAATGACATAAAATTCCTGGACTCCGAGTTATACTTTCGCTTAATGTGGAGAGAAGGAACTTTTAAAGAGTAAATTTGACGTGAGGGACATCTGCTGAAAGTTTTCTCCGCACCCTGGAAAAATAATACGCTGCGGCACCTCAAATCGTCAGACTGGTTTTACTTCGAAGTCGACGAGAATTGTGAGTAATTCTAGTTTAATGTAAAGAATGGAAAATGAGCCGGGGTGTAAAATACTTGATAGACCTGGGGAGAAAAGAAGGAATCACACAGAACGACAGCAACTTTTAAAGCAGCCACTGTTGAGCAGCTGGAAAAACCTGAACGGGATAATGGTCGGCATGTTCGTATCCGTTCTTTCCCTTGGACTTTGCATTTTGGTGATAATGCGGACCTCAGAACTGCAGTCCAGGATACTGAGTCTGGAGCAGCAACAGGACGCAAAGTTGTCCGCCTGGATGATGACTCTGGAGCAGGTGGAGCCCCTTATTATGAGTCGGGTGGACCAGTTACTGGAGGAGGTAACGCATAAAACACTACTACTACTTCTATAATATTTAATTAAAGGACACAAATACGCCCAAATGAGGTGGGTAACATATTTATATCTTAATAATTAAAAATATGCCTTAAATAAAGACCAGTTCAGTAAACGTGGGGATTCAGTTGTATTTAATTTTTCAGCAGACATCTTGTCTTTTCCGTTCTCACGGCTTGTAGCTTATCTCATTAATCTTGTCTCGCAAAGAATAATTAATTTCTCTATCGTCTAACCTTCTACATGGATGAGGATATTTGACTGTTCTAGCCATATTCCGTGCTGCTGGTTTCATTTTGAAGCTACATTGAAGCTTGTACAGGTTTACACAGTTGTTATTAAAAATTAACTTAGTTTGTCTAGTGACTGAACTAGTTGCAAAGTCTCTCAATCATCTTTGATTTATTTTGGTGACACAACTTGTGTCGATTGTGTGATATAGATTTTATAACCTTTTCTGGGTATAGTGTAAGAATACGCTGGTTACTCAGGTTTATTAAGAACTTGTGTAGTGTGACCTACCTGGTAGATTTATCAGAGTTGCCTACTTTTGTTCCAACAAAATATTATATAGAGATAGAAGTACAGAAGTACAGAATGATTTAGTCAAGACAAATAATCAAGTCCCAGAAAAAGGCTTTGAAAAACTTAAAGGGTTTTGGTGAGTTTGGAAAGACACTGGAGATGAAGGCCACATGATCAATGAACACAGGAATCCCTTTGGTAATGACGCCCAGAGCTTGGCCTATTGCAATAATCAATAAATCAATTAATTGTATTATAAATTAAAAACAAAGTCAATAATTCCCATTGGTATGATTTATCTTTCATCCTTTTTTTTCTCTCTTTCTACCAAAAATTGGATGATAAATGTCTTCAGTTTGGTGCTTTGGTCTCAACCAAACCTTTGTTTGAAAGACTATTATGTCTACAAATACTTCAAAATTCATTGTATTTGCTGTTTTGTTTATTTATTTTAGATATTTAAAAAGTCTTCTAGTTCCAGTGTTAAATGTTCATTAGAATGTAAAGTTTACTGATTTGTTAGAATGTCTTCGTGCATTATTATTTTTGCTATTACCGCTATATTGCTTAAGAATGGTCTCAAAAGAATATTATCGTTTATCGCAATAACTTCTGGAACAATTTATCGTCCAGAAAAAAATGTAATTGTGACAGGCCTACCCACAACAACTGGTTTATGGGAAACGTAGAGTTTAATACATGGGTCTGTGTTGGACATATAATATTAATTTAGAAAAGGGACTTAATAAACTAACTTTGATACAAGGTTCACAACTTGTAAGACATTCATTCATGTTGCATACTTTCCATAAACTATGTTTCACATTTGTAATTTGGGAATACAATTGCAAAGAAAACAATAGCAGTTTTCTAAAAGAGCTTTGGTGTGTTCCTGTTTCCAACACTCCCCAAATGAAACTGCTCATCACAGTCCTCTGCCTCCTAATGCCACTGAAGAGGAAACTCAATAATTCGGTTCAGCTGTGTTGGAGCAGGAACGTATCCAAAAGTTGTAGGATTCAGCTTTTCAGAAAACAACTGTTTGAATATTATTCAGATGGGCAAATACAATTGGACTTTTAAAAATGACTCACCTAGCTGTCTGAGATGAGCTCCTTTCCATTTTCTCTCTTGTATAATCAGTGACGCATCAAGAGTCTGCACCTCAGAGACACTCGGATTTAAAAAGAATAATTAAGATCTTGTCACTGAAATAAATGCTCCTGTTTTCAGTTATGTTATCACTGAAGGTCTTGGTCCATCTGTCTTTACCAAAAGTGTGATCAGCAACACATTTGGACCGGTGTGTTTTGCATCACTACAACTAAGCAATAGTTAGTTTTATCTAAAAAAAAAAATCCAGTGGGTTTTAAAAGCAGACGAGTCACAGGTTATTTCAACCAACTCAGTATGTACACCTGTTCAAAGCTTATGAGCTCCTACTTAACATGATCTTTTGAAGAATGACTGAAAACAGATATTTCTAAAGTTTGTTTCATCTTATTTAAATTCGTGTGTATCTGTAACATTAACTGTAACTATAAAGTTATTTCTAAATTAAGTGAAAGGAATATAGTAATGAAGGAGCAATATTTTCTCCAAAAAACTTTGAAACTCCGATGCCAGAGATATACATTTGTGAGGGAATATTACATTTTAAAAGGCATTGATTTACAATATTAAAAAGTAAGTTCAGAAAGAGTCAAGCAGCTATTCTGCAATGCTGCAACCCCTGGAGAGCGGATCACAACCTCCTTCCTTCGCCAGCTGAATGTTCCGCCTGTCAATTAATTTATGGTCTGAAACGGTCTCTCTTCTGCCTCTGAGATGGTAGAAATGTCAGATTTCACACTTGGGATTGCAAATAGTTTGCCTTCGCTCAGATAAATCTCACTGCCCTGTGTCTCAAAGCCGGGTATGTGTTGTGAGAGAACGTTGGAAACCCATCAGGCCACGGGTTCTGCCTGGCAGGAGGTGGAGGTGTCACAGAAGTCGGTCTCCATTTGGTACTTTAGTTACATATCTATATTAAACGACCTAACTTTAGGAACAGAAGAGAAACGGCGCTAAGTCAGACTGGTAAAGCGAATATTCTCTCAAATCAGACATACATTACATGAATGGTTTTTTTTTGTTTTGTTTTATTTTAAGAAAACCTCAGTGATGTGCAGTCAGGTGAGGCACCTGTCATCATGGAATATATAAAAAGAATATATAATGATAAGGATATATAATGATAAGAAAGTTTATATTGTTGTTTTCACCCTGAGGTTTGTACTACAAAGTATTTATTTTTCATTTAGCTGAACCAGTTTTGATTATTTTTTTCTTCAAAATCGCTGAATTTTCGTAATTTCCCATTCAAATGCTCAGAAACGAAGCTGAGCCTTACCTTGGATTGCCAACCTCTGGCTAACTGCACTGGCTGCCATTCTATGGGATCATGTTCCTCCTGTCTGTATGTCGCCAATAAAATGGTTATTAAAATATTTTATATATGAACTGATTTTCCATAATTTAGCTTATGTATATAATGTACAATGCTTTTTGCCACCAACCGTGTGTGTAACATGTTCCGCATACTGAGACGCGATCATAAACAGCAGAAAACAGATTCCAGGTGAGGCAGGAAATTCTCTTGCTTCATGGCAAGAGAATTCATGAGATCATGAGAATTCATGATCCCAGACATTGGTCTTGTAACTGCAGGTCTGCAGAGTAAGAGACAGCGAGGCAGCCATACAATAAAGAAGTGAAGTGCAGCAATATATACGCAACAGTGACAGATTTCTGACTTTGGTTTTTTCTTCTTTTTCTGTGTAGAAACTTGCAACACAGATGTCAAAGACACGGGAGGTCCGAGATGCTCCACAAAGCTGCCTTTGTCCTCCAGGTATGGTTAAAGCAGAGATGTTTGGTTGAAGCAGTGATGTCCGATTAGCTCTACGGTGGGGCCGACTCCCCGAAAGTTCAAATCTAAGATCTAACATAGAACGCTTATAATTCAGTTTTGATCTAAAACTTCAAATTATGCAATATGATAGGAAGGCAAACAAAAGAATATTTAATATTAAGTCAAACATGATTTTTCTTTTAGTGTAATATCTTTGGCTGGCCTCTCTGTTCTGATTAAAATTGTATATAATCTTCCTTTTATGTTTATGTGAAATACACGCACCTATCCTTCTCCATGAACATCTCTGTGTCACTCTGTTGTAAAATGTTCTGTTTTTATGAATTACTCATGATCAACAAAATGTGTTTTTAATGAACAAAAGAGAAAGCCCTTCAATGTCAAAGTCCAAGGAATTTCTACAAAATAATGACAAATTAAAAATATGTAACATAAAATATGTTACAATGTTCAGGACCTCTTGGTCAATTTTCTCCTTAAAACCAGTCAAGTTATTCCATTAATGTCCCAGATGTTAAAACTTTCTTAACTTCTGTACGGATTTCTTTTTATATCAGTGATGATGCAAGCTTGAACAGTTTCCATGGCGTCAACGCTATAGCTGCCAGCTGCCAGCTATAGAGCTGTTTGCTAATATTCAGGTTCTCCAAATGTGGCGGCTGGTGTAAAAGATTTTTGGTGGAGTTGATGTGCCAATTGATTTCCCTTCCTTGTTCGGTATGAACATTCAAATGAACGGTCGGAAAATTAGTATAATTTCACAATAATGTAACATTTCTCATACAGCAAGATAACATGAAGCAAGTACCTGGCTGCAGCAAACAGAAAGGGGCAGGACAAAACCAAACAGCAGACTCTAACCATATTGGACGCATATGCAGGAGCATCACTGCACTCCGGAAAGGAGAGCCAATTCCTATAATAATTGTGGTCTCAATTTTATTTTCCTCTTGAAATCTTTATTGATTATAGTTATTGTTCAAACATAACCATGAAACAACCGTTGTGAAAGATAAAGATACTAAATATATTAAATCTTAGCCTATGTGAGCAAGTTTAAGGCCAGACTTGAAATTTGTTAATGATTATTTAACTTAAAGAAAGCTATTTTGGATCAACTGTTTTTGTACTTTATATGTTTTAGTTGTAATTGTAGAAAAGCACAAATCTGAAGTGCACTAAATGTACTACTATGTGCTAAAGTGGAACAACTTAAAGTATGCTTTGTACACTTTAAGTATGGCTACTTATGCACTACTAACATGCTTGATTAGTTCACATTAAATGTACCATTTTTGTCAAGGACATTTATATTGTTTATTGTATTTGTCCAAAAAAACTCAAAAGGCACAAATAAAAAAAAAAAAAACTTAAGACTTAAAGGGTGATCAAAGTAAAAGTGAATCCAACTCAAATAGCCTTTTGATGCGCCGAGGGTTTCTGGTTTACGCAGTTTCAGAAAAGTCAAAAATCAGGATGCAGTTCTTTGTTGGTTTATTTCAAAGTTTCAGGAAAACAAGCAGGATCCTGTTCTCAGCCTCTCCTGGTCTGATTCCTGCATTGTCTGGCTGCTTGATTGTATGACCTGCTCACTCACTGACAGAGTGACTGCAAGACTGATAGACAAGGTGACTGGTTTACTGAGTGGGACAGTAACTGGTAAAAAAAACAAAAAAAAACATATGACACAGAATTGTACAAACGGAATATATATTTATATATATTTTCAAATGCTCAACACACTTGGAAAAAAAGTTTGACTTTTGACAAACACATTATGAAAAATATTTCACTAAAGACAGAAAAAGTCTTAAGAAAAAAAATAGCGAGGGAGTTTGAAGCAGGTTAGTTATTCTTGCTTGACTTTGACAACCTTCAGATGTAGATGTCAAGTGGAATTCGGTGAGTCGTGGCTCAGATAGAAATATAAAAGGTGACGTACACACCAACTCTGACAGGTCATCATTAGACCAGGTATTTAAGTTAGCTAATCTACCACCGTTGTTAGGTTAGCTAACAGCAGCGCTGTAGCTAATCTATGACAGTGATCACTTATTAATAATCGCAAAACAAACGTCAAGCCTAAAAACGTAATACTATAACAGAGTGGATGTTCTGTTCTTTGTATGGGAAATGATTGAGTGCTTTTTGGTGTTGAATCCTGAAACATGAGGTGATGTAAACATGAGGCAATGGCGTTGACAGTTGCTATGGCAACGAGCCTGTATGCAGCATTGAAGAGGTTTCACTTTTTTGTGATTACTTTGTAAAGAGCAGCATTTTCCTTCCTGACTTTAACTAAACAAATCTTGGTGTATGATTTGGGGAATCACCGAGTTTTTGCACATTTCTGTACATTCAGTTGTCTGTCCGCTCAATAACATTTAGTCTGTAAGCTGAAAGAAATGTGTGTTCTGTGGTTGTGCTATTCAGGAAAATGCAGCTGTCTCAGCGCCCCAAAATATAAACCCTTGACTGAGAGCCACGAATACCAAAGCAGCTGCCAGAGTAATAGATTTACTAAGGTACATGCAGACCACTGTGTTCTAATTAGCTGCCCGGTTGATAGCCATTCGCTGCTAACACCTCTGGGATCAAAAATGTGCTACAAGCTAGACTGCCTTTTGTTGTTTTCCTTTCTTCTTTTAAATTAATGGAATACAGTAGGATTTCAAAATATGACATATGCTGTTCTCTGTTTTTCTGTTGATTCAGGTTTGTCAGGTGAATGAGAATGTGTAATTATTAAAAGTAGTAATCATTGGGAGCCCCAACGGCCCCCACAAACAACTGAGTACATCCAGTTCTTGAGAGAGATAAAAGGAGTGCCTTTGTCTAATATTAAGAATAAAGTATAGATGGGCATTATTTTCAGGTAGAGTTTAGCTTAGCTTAATTTACCTAATGTTACCTCATGCAGATGACAGGTAACATTAGGACACCTAACCCGTGACCACTTAAGTCACAATAAGTGTCACACTTATTGTTACACTTACGTGTGTGAGGCACAAACTTATTGGCAGCCATAAAATAAAGTTTTCTCAACAGACAAACATAAAAAACAGAGAGAAAACAAAAAAGTGAATAGATTCAGATAATGTGAACTGAAGAGTAATAGAAGAAGCAAGTGAGAAAATGTGGACATTTTGTTATCCAGTAGCCTAATTCTACGGTAGTGTAACTACAGAAATAGCTCAGGATAACCTAAGGCAGTCTAACTGCATGCTTTAAGCTTTAAGGATAGTTAAAGCCTCACGGACTAAAACTGGGTTCTGGTTCCACAGGAGACAACTAAAGGATCTGCCTCTCATTCTGCTTTTTTAAAAATGATCGGAGCCAACAGTAGACCTGCAGTCTGAGAGCAAAGTGCTCTGTTAGGAACATTTGAAACAATAAGATCTCTGACGTATGACGGAGTTTGATTATGAAGGATTTTACACGTGAGGCTCTTGTATTTCGGATTACATGAGGCTAAAATAGGAGAAATATGATTTGTCTTTTTTAATTTTCATCAGTACAAATTCTTTAAAGGGTTTTACAGCATTGTCTGATTAAGATATTCTGTAATGACTTTTTTTTTTTTGGTGAAATTTTGAGTTCCCAAAATTTAAAGTGTAGCAACAGAAAATATGTTCATTATGCTTACATGTTAGAATAGAGTCTCAAACACAAACAGCTCCACAGAGTGCAACAGCAGAAAGCAGAAAGCAGTGGCCATGTCTACATCAGTGGACCACACTTCCAGCCAATCAGAGACAGATAGTTTTTGTGTCCAGTTAGCTTGAGTGAAAAACAACCAGCAAATCAAAATGCAGCACAAAATGGTAGAAATTCCAAAACAAACTATATTATATAAGAAAAACACAAGAGAACAGAGCATTAAATAGTGTGTATCCTAAAGGTATTCAGTAAAGCATTTTAGATATTTCAACATTTCTTGAGCGGTGACATATGGGGGGAAAATGGTTTTGCCTATTTTCTGGATTTGATTTATTCCAAGCGTTGAAAGATGATACAGCTCAAGGAAAAACGTAGCGTTACAGTTTATCCAGAATACATTTTATATACGTTACTGTAGGTGTTAGGAGATAAACACAGAAGAAAACCCACATACGCAAAATGGCTGATCACCAGCCCATGTGGACTATTATTATTTAATATTATTATGTGTTACAGCTGTAGTCAAGAATATGTTTAGAAAACTTGAACACAATGATCAGGATGGGGGAGTGAATACGTTTTGAGACGTGGTTTTTAATAACATTTTTTCCTATCTGTTTTCTTGTTGATTGTTGTGACAAGTGGGCTATTTTTTTTTCTTTTTCTTTTTTAGAAATCTGATCTGTTTCAGCTACATCTCATGTTTATTGTTCAGAAATTGTCAAGGTGCTCCCGTTTTTTTTTGAGTTAAGAGATTTTTAAACAATGCCTGATGCCGCCGGGAGCCTTTTCTTTTTTATCTGTGCAGCTGACACAGGGTGAGTGTGCTCCAGGGTCATGGGACTCGTTATTTAAGTAGACTCGCCAGTTCACCTTGACATTTGTGTTGACAGGAAAAGCCCACAGCGTATCACCTTCTGTGGGTTTGATATATTCACCGGACAGCTGCTAATGCATAGACAAACTGGGGAGAGTGTGGCAACCAGAGACAGAGAACAGGAAGAGGCGGCATGCTGATGCATGTGTGCAATGCATATGTATGTTGTGGCATAATCACTTGGCAAGGTGTATTTTTGAGGATTGCTTTGTTGAAAAATGATGGTTCTCTCTGTACACCCAAATATTCATAAACCCCAAACCTGAATACTGTAGAACGCCAAAAGTAAGATTTAGTCTTTTTTTTTTTCTAAAGGGAAACTGTGTAAGTGTATAACGGTTGTCCCTATAAAAGGACAAGACGTATTCAGAAAGCTCACCAGTGGGGTCAGATTAAAAAAAAAATGATAAAGATTCCACTTAATTGTCCTCCTATTGACCAATGTCACCGTTAAATGTTGATTTCAAAATTTCTGGTGTTAGCTAAACAATTAGAGAAAATTCTGCTAAAGTGTTGGTAGAGTATCCTAACATATTCCAAATATGGTTATTTATAATAATCACATAAAAAAATCCAAAACAAACAAAACTGTATCCTGAAATATCATCAGTCAGCTTCCTTGAATTTTACTGTCAGCAATTGAAAAAGAAAAAAAAAACAGCAGTTAAATTTAATGAATTTAACTTGTCATCAAATTCTAAAAACTAAAAGTAAGACATTAAATTACCTTTGTGTTGTTTGCTTAACCTGGACATTTTCCTTCTAATACAGAGAGGAAGAAAGAAAACTTGGAAAATCTCTTCTTCCATGATTCAATTCAGTTCAAAGTTAATCATTGAGCCCCAAAGGGAAAACAAATGTTACTCATATTATTCGAGGTTCTTCGAAGAGTTATTGTAGAGGCTGATGGATAGTGTTGGCTCTGACTGAAGACACTGTTGTGTACCACGCTCATGAAGAATGCTCGGATTTGTCCGTCATTTTCTTGATCTTATGTGAAAAACTTCTTTGCACCGTCACATCCACAGTCTTTCCTTCATCAGTCCTTGGTTCTGATGCTGCTACCTCAACAAATAACGGCAGAAGAGATGACACCCTCATCAACAGACTTATGGAAGACATAATCTTGGTGCAACCACAGAAGAACCTAAGATTCCTCATTAAGTAGAGTCTTTCTTTGTGATTTCTTATATATAGCAGTAGAGGGCACAATGACATCACACAGAGAGAAGCACGCTCAGTTTTATCCCAACCATCATAAAAACAAGAAGAAGTCCTCAGTGTTTGTGGAAGTAAACATGGATGCTAACAGTGGAGCATAGCTTACATATTTGAAATTGTTGTCCGACCGGAGCCAGAATATTAACAACTTAATCCTCATTATAGTCCGACATGGTTGTTATTTTTTCTGCCTGCTTGCTTGTATCAGGGTGCAGAATAGAGACATTTGTCGAGTATCAGTGACGTTCAGGTCGGATGAATGCGACCTGGACATTAGGTCACATTTGAAAATATCAGATGTGTGTCGGATACCCAAGTGGCCCGGGTTGCATTAGAAAAAAATCCGATCTGTGTTGTTCAGACTGTCATCAGATCAGATTCAGGCTGCTGTGTGGACTTAGCCAGAAAGCGGTCCATCAACTCTGTACTCAAGCTTCTTGACCATCTCTGAAACACCCGATGACTGCAGTCGTTGAGTATTTCTGCAGATGACAGGAGTCTGACCTGTGCTCTGAGTCGCAGTGCATGTCAGACTGCTGTAAAATTAGAGTGACTACAGTTGCTTTTCTTCGTCATAGTAATTTATGGATTGACCAAAAGCATCTAAAGATTCCTTTAGTAACCAGTGAATCTGCTGAGCGTCTGCATACATGTTTCTTCTTTGCTCATCTTTGTTTTGCAACAACTGCAGCGCGTCGGCTCTCTGAAGAAGTAGAAGAACGTGGCAGGGGATAGATGACTTTACCAGAGACCTTAGCATGGCTGGAACATTTAAAGAAAAGAAAACACTTCTCAGGTTTCACCATTATATCACACTCTTTCATATTCGTTCCAAATGTGCCAGAAAAAGGAAAATAATAACAATAGAAAAATTTATTCAAATGTGGATATTTTTGCATTCTCTACCTCATGGCCCGAATGTCTAACAGAAGTTGAGGTGAGGTAAAGCGAACCTTGAGAAATATTTCAAAAATACAACTTTGCAATTAATTCAATGTAAAACAAAACAAAAAGCAGAGCAGTTGGGGTCTGGCAAAGTCAAATGGATAAGTTAAAATAAATAAAAGCTTCAATAAAAAAATATATATTTATGACAGCAAAAGCAAGAAAAATATATACTTTTTATCCATTGCATGTGGCATAAATTCATATTTCCGAAGTAATTTTTAATTCTTAGTTGAACTCGGTTCCAGTATCCCAATTTGATTAATGCATATTTAATGTATTGAGACTTTTTTTTCTGCTTGTTTTACTTTTTGCATTCATGTGTCAAACATTTATGTACATTTTGATTCCCATGTATGTTCTACTACGGAAAGCTCAATTTCAATGTTTTATCTCTCTCTGTCTTGCAGGACCTCCAGTAAGTAACATCAGACGCTGTATTTGAACTCCATGTGGTAAAATGATAACTTTTATCATTTTCGTGTGAACTGCATCACTAGCGTTAAAACATATTGTGGAATACAATATGTGTACACACACACACACACACACACACGCACACACACACACACACACACACACACACACGCACACATCTGCGTGTGTGTGTGTGTGTGTATTCGTGTGTGTGTGTGTGTGTGTGTCTATACTCTGGTGTGTGTGTTTCTCTTATGCTATCTGTTCATAGGGGACTGCAGGGGAGCCTGGTCTGTCTATCATTGGACCAAGAGGGCCTCCTGTGAGTACTGCTGTTTGTGATATGCCAAAACTCATGATTACTTCAAAAATGTATATATTTTATTATATTTTCTCCCATGGAGGTTGCCATTTTTAAACCTGCTAAAAATGAACAGGTTTAAGAGAAGTTTAGTCTTATTTGACTTTTGCATATGATAAAACTGTACAGTCTGTACTCTGAGAATACCTGATATCTGCTAGATAACGGTATGTTGTTGTTTTTACCCTGTTACCTCTGAGGCTAAATGTTTTCAGTTAGGTTTAGTTGGTTGGATTAATCCTTTGTTCCCTAAGCAAAAGCAATTGCAAAGTGTGTGATGCTTGTCTTTGTCACAAAGCAACAATCTGTTGAGACCAGTCTGTCAGTGTGAACTCCAAGTCTTTTCAAAATCTTAGAAAACAGAAAAAGTCATGAATTTTGTCCTCAGCTAAGGAAATTGATAAAAAATTTCTTTACTATCCTGCACTCTTGCATGCCAGATTAACAATATTTTTACTGTCCTCTTTCTTTTTAGGGACAACCTGGCACAAGAGGATTCTCTGGTTTCCCAGTAAGTGATTGTACAGTTTTTAGTGAGACAGATGGAATGGGTACGGATGTGTCTTTTATCACAAAACCTAGTTTACAGTTACGTCATATGCCACAGTTGTAGCCATAGAAACCTTGAATAATTGCTAAGTAAGATATAAGATATAGAATAGAGACCAAGATACAAGGAAAATGGTCTAAATATTTTGCAGTACTGCCTGATTTTTGTATCAAAGTTAGTGACAAGGTAAAATGTTTTATTTTTTATGACCCAAACTTTAACCTTTACCTTTAAGCTTTGATCTGCAACCAAAAAGGAACAAAAGGACTAGATATACATGAAGTTAAATAGGTTAAACACATGAAAACATAATTTTCTTACAGGTTTAAAATAACAGGAAATTCAATTGCATATATATTTGGATATGTACACTTTTATTCCTTGGCATTTTATTCTTCCATATTATTGTTGAAGTACATGTTGATTAATATTTAAATTTGCTATATTTAAATCGCTGCTTAGGTTAAAACTGGATGTTGCTTCATCCGGTTTTAAGATTTTCTTAGACATTGTTAATGATTTGTTTAGTGACTTGGATTAAATGTTTGTCTTCTTCTCCATAGGGTCCTATTGGGTTGGACGGAAAGCCTGTGAGTTTTCTTTTTTCTTTTGGAAGAAAATAAAAGTAGAGATTTTTGTGTACTTGTTTATTGTGTGAGTGCATGGCTGTGGTTTCAATGAATTAAAAGCTCTTTTTGGTTTTATCGGCTTTAACAACGCAATGTAACGATTCACATTGTGTAACCTAACCTAACATTTTATGTTCACTCAGGGGCAAAAAGGACAAAAGGGAGACATGGTGAGCATGGCTACTTGGTTTTACCCACAATACACTAGTAATAATTTGAATTGTTTGACCGCTTCAGTTTTAAAAGTAGAATAAAATTTCCAGTTTTAATTGAAGGAATGATAAAGTGGAACTGTTTTGTTGATTTTTCGTTTCTTTTCTTTTAGGGTTCTCGTGGTCCTCAAGGAAACCTGGTGAGTTGCAATTATTTTTTTGTTTATTCTTTTTCATAAGATAGCAAACCTGATATCTTTGCAAAATATATAAAAAGAAAACTTATTTTCCCTTTCATTTATTTCTAGGGGGAGCCGGGCCTCAAAGGGGAGAAGGTGAGAGATGCTGCCATTTGAGAGTCAGCCGACTTGTGAACATATTTCAACAAGTATTTCTGTATGGAAACAGATTACAACTTTGTCCTATTGTATAAACCCAGATCCCAGGTCTGAATTTAGCAGCCACTTAGTGGAACTGATTTTAATATATAATATATTTGATCATGTAGAAATCATTCTTTACATGGGCAACAAGAAAGTAGAAATTACTCTTGGAGGCCCCCCGGTGGCCACGGTAGGTCACACTTCACCGGTAATTTACGCATCCAAACCTCCAAAGGAGCGGTGGAAGATAAGTAAGCGAAACAATGTCACAAAAAAGAACTTATCCTTCAGTGAGAGAGAAAATAAGGATACAATACATACATTTAATCCAATTTGAACCTGGTTATTAAACAAAGCAGTCAAGTTTGGTTTGCATTTCAAATTGGATACACAGTTTTCGAGACTTCCAAATACAAAACAAGTGCTGACTTCAACAAGTGTAGTTGGTGTAATGTTTACAACATAGCTTAAATGGATACTTGGAGGTTTACTGAATGTTTTTTTTTTTTTTATCTCCAGGGTACATGTGGAGACTTAACACACCGGGTAAGATTTTATATATATATATATATATATATATATATATATATATATATATATATATATATATATATATATATATATATATATATATTCACAACATGCTGACACTTCATAAGTAGCTATTGAAAACAACAATTTGATTGGTTTGGGTTTTCCTAAATAGTCTCTTCCTTTTCACACTGATATTATTCATGTTGAGTGTATTTCAAATGTGTCCCTTTCAATTTCTTCACCAGGTTTAAAGCCCCATTGTGATATAGACAGGCAGAAAATCAGCAGCACACATCAAAATGGTTACACAGATGGAAGATACTTAAAAGACATAACAATAATAAAAAAGCACATGTAGATATGAAGGGAGTATTGTTTTGATCTTCCTCTTGAAAATGGAAATCTTTCAAGCTTTATGTGATGAGATTCATGGAAAAAAAGTCCAGGAATAGAGAAATTAAGAATTTTTTTTTTTTTTACTGTTAGTTTTACATGCTGTACATGTCCTGAATTTGTTACAGCTGCACTGATTGGGCTTTTCCAGATCTCTAGAATGTAATCCTTTCAAAGGAAGAACATTAAAAAGGAAGATTTTTATTGTTTCTATCCCTAAGATTGTTGCAAGCATTTGTTGCACATGCTTTTTGCTTCCTTTCCCGCTTTATGTTCTTTACTCCAGTCATGCCCTCCCCCTTTTAATTTCCATTCTTGTGGTCTGTTTTCCTTCCCGTTTCATTCTTTTCCTTTTCATTCTTGTTTGAACCTTAGATTTTTCCATCCAATGATCTTTTTGCATGGGGGTCAAGTCTGTTTATGACTTCTTCTTACAGGTGTTGCCCATGACCCTGAGAAACACGCCTTCTTTAAACCATCTAATCTTAAAACGCCTGCAGGTAAACATCTGTCTAGACAATATTTATTTTTCTTTAAGCCTTATGTACAACTAACCAACATGCCACAAACTTTGTCTCCTCTGTCATCTGCCTAACAATCTTTTGGCTTTAACATTTTTGGCCGTGTTGAAACCAAAATGATTTGTTGTTATTCAATACCTGGCATGCAGACTTTATATGTTAATAAAAAAGAATTTTGCATAGCAAAGATTCGGTATGAATTGTTACATTAAAACAAATTACTACTTTTTTATTCATTCATTAAGAAAATTCAGTAACTCAGAAAAGAAGATTATTGTGGCTCAGCTAAATATTGAAAACTTGTGGAATCACATACTAATCAGCTAATTAACTCAAAACATTTACAAAAGAAATAGTGACATGCCCAATGTATTGCATGATATCATTTGTCATCAGTCACTCAGCCGTCTCAGAACGTATAGGCGACTTTGGCCCTTCCTGTATGCAGCACTAATGTTCTTGATCCAGTCCAGTTTATAGTCATTGTGAAGTCTCAAATATTTATAATTCTCCACAATATCCACACTGAGCCCCGGGATGATAACAGGGGCCACTGGCATCCTGGTCCTCCTCCTCAGATCCACCATCAGTTCCTTGGTCTTTGTCACTTTGAGCTGCAGGTGGTTCAGCTCACATCATGTGACAAAGTTGCCTACATAAGCCCTGTATTTAACCTCATCACCCTCACTGATACAACCAACTGCAGCTGAACATCTGGAGATGACAGGACTCAGTGCAGTAGCTGACGTCGGTTGTGAAGAGCGTGAAGATGAAGGGAGACAGGATAGTCCCTTGTGAAACCCTTGAGTTGTTGACAACACTGTCTGACACACAGTGTCACAGACGCACGAAATATGGTCTGCCAGTTAGACAGTCAACAATCCTGGTTGTGTTTGTGTGAGAGCATATATATAGACATTTATGCGCAATTGCAAGTTTTGTCCCATGGGGGCTCTCATATCTCTGCTCTAGTGCACGCCATGGTCCTGCTGTTGTCCCCATAAATACTGTACAGACCTCATAGCTTTCATGCAAGCTTTGCACAAACCATGTGGGCACAGCTCTCATCCCACTCCAGACACTTTAGGTTTTTCAGTCACATGGCTCTGGCTGAGTCAGTACTATTTTAGCTGAAAGTCAAGAGCCAAGCCAAGAACCATGTCAGTGACGAATGGAGGATGAAGGATCATCAGACTCAGAGAGCAACTAAGACTGGGTCCAGGTCCCGGATCAGTGCTGCCTTGAGACCGTTTGTTTGTCCCAATTAGACTGATGACGAGCTGGTGTCATACTTTCTGTCTTCTGAGAGGGAAAACTGTCCAGCCTGCTGCAGTCCCTCTTCTTCTGACTCCTTTGCTGTCTTCACCTTGGGAACTTATTCAGGTTGACCTCTGTGGAGAACATTATGGGGTACCTTCTCTTGCTCGCCACCTGCTGGTTGTGGATGATCTTCATTCTAAGTGATCAGAAATTTGCAAACTGAACTCCATCACTGCATCTTCCATCATCGACTTTCTGGAACCTTTTTGGGTGTTTAAAGGGTTTTATAAATAAAATTGATCATTAACTGTTCATCCATTCATCCATCCATTTTCTAACACCCTTGTCCCTAGTGGGGTCAGGAGGGGTACTGGTGTCCATCTCCAGCAAACGTTTTGGGCGAGAGGCGGGGTCACCCTGGACAGGTCGCCAGTCTGTCGCAGTCATTAACTGTCTCCATTAATATTTTTAATGGAAATCACTTGAACTTGCTTTCATTACTTTAGCTGAAATTAACTATATTGTCACTTCTAGCAGAAGCCTTAAAACTTTTACATCTCTTTCCCTGAAATAGAAAAATAATGTACCAAATGTAAACTTTGCAGTAATGTAAAGAGTTGACTATTAATAGCTTTGTTAGTCTTCATAATTGATTGCAACTCAAAAGTCTCTCAGCAGGGTGCACCCGGATTACAAGGACCCCCAGGACCCCCAGGCCTCCCTGGTGCCCCTGGTTCCCCTGGTTCCCCTGGCCTTAATGGTCCCAGCGGACCACCGGTGAGTCCCAGCTTTATTTGAGATACAAAACCACAAAAAATTGACTTTTTGTACAATATTCCTAGTTAAGTCTAGTTTTTAATCGTTCCTTGTTGAAAAGAAATGTAAACATCAGTCATGGAAGTAGTGCTCTTGTTCTTTTTAATGAACACATTTTAGCAAAGATTTACACTGACTGCGGGGCAAACTCCTACTACTATTGCCACCATCGTCTCTCAATGTAGCTAACTTTGGGTCATAATTTCATGTCACCTACCCAGTGACGGAGAATTGACGAGTGAGATACTGTTAATGAATTGTCCACGACGCTTTTTAAAACATCCTTGCAATGTATCCACCTCTGATTTGTCGCCATTTATGCCAGGTAAAAGAAACCTGGCATTGCTATCGATGTCAAAATATTTAAAATCGATAGCAAGTCTGTAACCCTGCAACCGCAAATAACAGCACAACAGCTGCTATGAATTAGGGGTAAGTCAGGAGTACTGTGGATTTGAAGTACAGAGTTCGGGCTGACTGGATGTTACAGGTAGCCATTTGGATATCAGCTGATTTTTCTCCAACTCCATTGATGTTTACATTCAAATTGATGTTTCAGGTGATTAATTCAGCTAAGTGCAAATGAATGCCATTACAATGGACACCTCTAAAACAGCCTGGATTTTGTCTGAGGTGTCTAAAGGTTTCTGTCCCTCTAAAGGTTTGTCATTCCAAATACAAAGCAGAACGGAAAAAAAATAAAAAGATCAAAATTATAATTCCACAAAACAACAAATTCCCTAAAAAGTTTGTAATATCATTTAATTCCCTCACTCCAAGAAAAAGGAACCACCGCAACCAACCAGTATACTCAAAGCATTTCAATATACTGCCCACACAAACAGAAGCACCTGGAAGTATGGATTACCAAAGAAACATACATGTTTTCTATGTGTGCCAGGGTGAAAAGGGAGAGCCAAGCTCTTTTGCTAAGGGGAGTAAAGGAGAGCCAGGTTCACCAGGACTAATCGGCCCAATGGGGCCCAAGGTGAGATAAGTATCATTGATTATCTTTTAGCTCAGCAATTAAAGTTGTACAAAAAACAAAGACTTAAAGAAGTTTATTTTTTAGGGCGAAAAAGGAAATAAGGTAAGACATAAAACTGAAACCACTCATTAAAAAAAAATAAGAATAAGGGTAATTGCTTTGCAAACATGTTATGGTGGTCAATTTTCTATTAGGGGGAAGCAGGTACCAAAGGCCCTGCTGGCCCAAGAGTAAGTCTTTAATAATACATAATTGAAATACAAAATTTTTTAAATTTAGGATTTCATTTCTCATTGCTAATCAAAGAACTTTTATCTCTGTGTCCACAAAGGTTCCAAATGTTTTTGTCCTGTTTCTTAGGGTCCATCAGGTCCAACGGGGCAGCCAGGAAAGATTGAACTCCAGAACACTGAAAATGTATTCCATTATTTCAGTATGTATTGTATCCCTGTAAGAGAATGTGTATTAGTTTAGTAATAGTATGTTTCTTTGCAGAGCATTCGCAATATGCCCCTAATGGTAAGTGACTTTAGTTTATCCCTTATTATATGGTGGGTTGTTGGAGGATTGCTCAAACCAAGAATTCAGTTCTGCCAATGAAGGATGCTAGATGTTGAACATGACTTAAAATGAACTAAAACTGCAATGCTAAAGCAGACTGCTTGAAAGATCAGACTAGCTCAGAGGGCTAACACTAAGGTTGAGAGATACATTATATTCATGAGTTCTTGTCATTCTCTACAAGATCTAGAGAAACTCATCCATGCTTTTAACTTTAGTCGCATTGGCAAGTTAAATTTATAGCACCTGCGATTCTCCTCACTTTGCTCTTCAATTCTGTTTGCATGTTGCTTTGAAGATCAGGTTTTTTTTGTGTTATCAAGTCTATTTCTATACATGCAAACCTTTAGAAGAAAAGGCCCCAAGTGGATTAGCAAGGAAGAGAACAAACAGTAAGATAGTAAGATCAAACTTTCAAGATGACTCTTGAAGGGCAGATGATATTGAAGGGCAAAAACAGTGTTGGGATGAGGCACTTAGCAAAACTCCAAAACATCAAGCAGAAGTAGAATCAACAAACCAAATGGATTTATGTTGTTTTTCTGACATTATTCCACATCATCATAGGGGCTTCCTGGATTACCTGGACCACCAGGATCCCCTGGAACCCCTGGTGAAAAGGTAGGTGATTTTTTTTAAAATGGCATTTAAACAAGATTTTCTAACCCTATAATTGTGAGGATGTAGATTTTGTGTGTCTGTTTCTAGTTAATCTTGTCTCTGTGTCATCTTCCTGCCCTGATTACCTCCCTGTGTATTTAACTTCACCTGTGTCACCCACTCCCTGCCAGATCCTAGTCGTTAGTCGTGTCTCATTGTCTAGTGTTAGTTCCAGTGCTACCAGTGGTGCTATCCTCTTCGTTTACCTGGATTTTTGTTCACTTTGTCCATTAAAATCATCACTTTCCACTTCAACCTAGGTCCAGTCGCATACATCCTCACCACCACAAACACTACAATTCATGACAATAATCAGGCCTGTCTATATACCGTCTTAGCACTGGCAATTGTGCTAAAGCCTATTAAAATGCAGATTTTTAGATCTAAGCACTAAAAGTTGTTTGTTAATGCTTATTAAAATTTTAAAGGTAGATATTAGCTGTAATACAGAAGTTTGTAACTAAGATGAAATTTGTTCAAACAAGATTAATGTTTAATTGGTATACTTGGTTAAAAAAATAAGCATGATTACTGTATAAACACTCACATTTTCAGTTATTGGCTTTTCCCCGCTTTATTCTAAGCAGGTTTTGCTGGTTTTAACAACAACCAGGGATGGGCCAGTTACTGGTATTGAAGCATACCATAATATGAAAAAGTCGCTGTTTCAAACCACAAACATTTTTCATACCATTCTTCCAGAGTAAGCGTTTCTTTTTACTGGTCAGAGTGGAGGTAGGATCCCAGCGGTCATGTGTAGCTGCTGCATGATGACCCCTCACCCCATCTAAAGTCCGCTGTAAGGGAATACTTTGGCTACCAAAGGAGGATAGGTGGCCACTTGGAATCAAATGGACTAAGCAGCAGGTTGTACTTCTTAAGTTGCTCTTGATAGGCCTTCAAGTGAGGACTACAATTGATTAGGAGAGTATGTGGAGCCTAAATATTGCAAGGGACTGATAGTGTTGAGGATGGTAAGGGAAATGAGTGTGGGAATCCATATTGAAAACTATGTTAAACCTAAAGATTTCTTTTTAATGTTATTGTACCGATACATTGCAGTCAGATTTGTGGGAAAATAAATATATAAATGTAAAACTTACTGATTTGGTAGATGAGAATCTGCCAGGGGGGAATGATAGTAATAATAATAATCAGTTTAATTTATAACACACTTTTCATTAACAAAAATCTCAAAGTGCTACACAGTGCAACTAAAAACAAATAAAATCAACAATCGAAAAAAGACAGTCATTTAAAAGTGGAGTAGGCTTGTCTAAAAAGAAAAGTTTTCAGGCTGGTTTTAAAATCAGACAATAATTGCGGGGCTCTCAAATAGTCCGGGAGAGAGTTCCATAGATGAGGAGCAGCCACAGCAAATGCCCGATCGCCCATAGTCCTTAGTCTTGATCGAGGAAGGTGGAGAAGATTACAGGCTTGGGATCGTAAGAATCTAGAAGTTGAATGTGAAATAAGGAGGTCCTTCAAATAATCCGGTGAGGTTCCATATAGACAGTGATGAGTGATAAGTGCAATTTTATACTGAATCCTATAAGTTACAGGAAGCCAGTGAAGCTCGTAAAGAGTAGGTGTGATGTGGTCAAATTTACGAGCTCTCAATGAATGATGAGATCACTGGGGCTCTGTACCTTTGTGGGTAGAACACGTAGTGGTCCAGATTTAGATGATTGATGGAGCAGCGTGATCATTGAGATGGGAAAAGTTATGGGTTATGTTGGAGGGCGGACAGGTAACAGCACAGGTAGTGGAAGGAGAAGCGGTCCGTCGCTAGCAGTGGAAGGAGAGGCCAGAGATTCTTCCTTAGGAACTTACAGTCTTGGACATGAAGGACTTGGGCAACACAATTGGTAACATCCAAGGCACCACAAAAGGAGACCATAAGGTGAAGGACTCAGGCCACACAGTGGGTAAAATCCAAGGTGCCACAAAGGTAAACCTGCAATGAGATCAACAGGTAAATGCAACTGGAAACAATCTGGGAAAAACACAAAGACAAAACTTAGAGGAGCGGAGAGTACCTCAACAGGCAAACACTCAGGTGCTGAAGTGTTGGCAACCTACTCCTCTTATACCCAGGCTGATGAGGCAGATTGCTTGCAGGTGAGTGGAATCTTAACACCCTCCAGGTGAACAACCTCCTGGCTCCATCTAGTTGACTGAACTGTTGTCTGAGAGAAGGCAGCAGACAGAGAAGAACTCCCCACAAAAGCTAAAACCCCAGTTCCCAACACATACCAGTTTGGTGCAAATTGATTGATTCATGTTTGATTTAGAGGCAACCGTATACAAACAGCGAGGGATTGAAATTCACCATTCTGCCACATCCACACTGTTGAGCCACCAGCCAGTGTTGAGCGAATTCATCATGATGTGATTTTCTGTCACTTGGCACAGGTCTAAACCTATATGAATCAAAGAGTAAAAGTAAGACATCCAGTAGAAAAACATGTGACTTCCTGTTGGAAGTGGACACGGCTAAGGTGATGTCACCAGTTGACCCTGTGAATGTGATGAGGGCTGGTTTGTAATAAGAAGACACAGAAAGTCTGATACAGCTGTGACCTTGTATGTAGAAGTTAATGCATCTAGATGTTTCATTGAATGGTCAGATTTTGAGGGTTGGCCACTATACAGATGTATACCAAGTTTAATAATTCTGGGATAAAGCATGGCTTTGGGCTGATTACTTAAAGTATTATAGAGGATGCTGTAGGCCAAGCCCACTAAATATTGCTGTTGATTCCTGTTGGGGGTGGATAAGGCTCAATCCCAATGTGTTTGGTGCAGCTCGGCTCAAATCTGTGGAATTTAGAATCAAACGTATGGCAATGGCGTCACAGGTCACTTCGCCATGCTGCCATGCCCACCTCCTCCACTGTATCTGGTCAGTGTTGGAAACCAAGTTACACCACAATGTCTTCTGTATATAGACATAGTTTCATGTTGATTAAGTCAAAGGTGTCAGATAGAGACCATTCACAGTAAAACATGACACTTCCTGTTCTTAGTGTTGGCAGCTTAGGTGGTGTCATCATTTGACCATTGGGTATTGTAGGGCACTCGATGATGATCAATCACTGAAGGTTTGGTGTCTCAGTGAGTCTTTGTGTAGGAAATATAACAGTTTTGTGTTTCATGGTGAGATGTCAAACTTTGAGACCTAGACATGCCCCTTCAGCCTGCACAAGTTCGACAGTTGTACTAAATTTCATGTCTCTTTGGTGAAGTAAAGTCAGTGCAAAGGGTATTTTGAAAGTTGTTAGTGGAGGCCGCGGAGCAGTTTGTGTTGCGATTTTTGCAAAAACCTTAAAATACTTGTGTGTGCTGGGGCAGCCAACAGATTGAACAGACTGACCTGCAAGACATTATGGGAGTGAAGCTGGACTCTTTGACACCACTGTCCTTGGATAGGACTCTTCCTGCCCAGGGTGGATGTCATCTTGGACAAGTTTCATCCACTTCATGATGTGCTGGCCATCTAAAGGACCACTTTCAGCCACTTGAAAGAGTTAAACCAAACATTGTACACATGTTCAAGGCCACACCACGAGACTATATCTTATACTGAACGGATACGGTTATGTATAGTTTGCTCGCTGTATGTAATCCGAACTGAAATTAACTGGTTAATGAGGAAAGATGGGCCTGGCCCGATGGTTTGTGTAAAACAGTCAGAAGAAGAATAAATACCAGGACCATGTAGATGTCAATCAGTACCAGACTGCTCTGATGTGGTAAGACAGTTACCAGATATGGATGGTGAGGTTGTGTGCTTCACCTTGTAGTCCAAGGTGAAGCACATGGGAATACAGGTACCTGAATTGTTTAGATGAAGGCCGTCAGTTCCCAAAAGATGTCTTCTTCCCCAGAAAACATAAAAATTTTCCACAAAGTTTACACTTTGAAGAATGCAAACGGAAGACAGCCAGGTCAGTCTAAGAAGTCTGCTGAAACTGCCTGTTCTTCTGGGGCGGGAAGGGGACCAGAGATATAATCATCTCTTTCCCTTTCTCTGTCATGACAATGTAGTAGCACTTACTCGATGTTAATTTTGTCTTGATGTCTTTGGATTCACATCACTAATTCCAAGATGGGTATGAGGTTCAACCAGCTGGCCTCACCTGCTCAGTAGTTCTGTGGTAAGCGAGGGCTTTCCTGACACTGTACACAGTAAAATTAATAAAGTTTTAGACTAGTCAATTCTTTGGGCTCATTTTTTGCACATCACGTTAAATAGACACAGTCATGTGACAAAATTGATTTTTCTAAGATGAAAGATGAAGAACTACGTGAGTTTGTCAGACAGTTTGAAATGTTCAAAAATACAAAGGAATTTACCTTTGCATCACCGGCAAAGGCTACAGGAATAATGTGTGGCATAATGCCTGGCTCTTTTTCATCCATCAAAATGACCAGCGACACCTGGCGCATTGAAGCTTCTAAACTGGCAGCTTTTATGAAAACACTGTCTGTATGGAGCTTGAAACATAATTCAAGCTACATTCTGAGGATCCGAAAGAGTCTATGCCTTATGTTGGGATCTTCATCCCGCAAAGACATATATTTCCAAGTCCATATTCTTTAAAAGCCATTTAAACAAAGAAGTATCCCGTAAACCTTAGCCTTCCTCTAATTTTATCCATCAAATATCTGAAGGACTTTTAAATTTGTGTATTTTTTTAGGGACAGCCAGGTATTGGCATCAAAGGGGAAAAGGGTGCGATAGGGCAAAAAGGTGACAAAGGAGACAGAGGCTCTCTTCGATTTTCTGTAAGTAGACTTTTGTATCCTCCTTCCCTGTTGTTCGTTTTTTAATGAAGTAATTACAAATATAGAGTTCGTGGTCTTGAACATTTGCTTCATATTAGGATGCATTTCTTCTCTGTGCTATGGTGTCACTGTCTAAACATTTCTAATCTTTGTACTTACTTTTATAATTAACCAATAATAAAAATAAAAAAGTTTCACATACAGTTTTAAAAATTGAGTTTACAGCCATGCTGTTAGTTGTATGACTGTTGCCTTCACTGCTCTGATAACAAAGCTTGTTTGAAGTATCCTGAGAATGGTGGCCATTTTAAGGGGCATATAACAATAAAGTATTAAGTGGGTTTTATTTGGCCAGGCAAAGCATTTAAATCTGTTAGCATAACTGCTCAGATAACTCAACCACTCAGAATTGATTTATCTGAGTAGTTATTTAATCATCTCAAAAAGCTGTACTCAACAGAAGGTGGTGTTGCTGTGGTTCCACAGGTTTTTGTTGTGGTACTTGCTGTGGTGACAGCAAGAGGTACTGCAGATGGCATGACTGAGGGCAGTGCTGTGGTGGTGGTGTCGGTTGTTTTGGAGGTGATAGAAGATGATGAGGGGTTATGAATAGATGTGGCCATCCAAAGTCTGATCAATTTCAATGGGATCCTGGGAGTTTTCTCCTTGTACCTTCTAAGGTGATCAATCTTGATCTTATTGATCTTACTTATGGTGTAGGGTCCAAGGAAATCTGGGTCCATCTTTCCATTTTTCCGTTGCTGACTTCTGTTTTATTTTTTCTCCAATGTCCCCATCCTGAAAGCTTTGAGGCTGTGCTTGTGACCAATGTATTGACCTAGTTCTTTCTTGTACTTCCTCTTGGTTTCCTTGGACAACTTTTGGTATTTTCTCTTCCCGGTTAAAGTCTACAGCCACTTCTTCCTCCATTGATATTTCCTCAAACCTCATCAAATTGAATAAATTGAAAACAAACTATGGCTTGGGGATGGTCTGGGGCACAGATGCTCCTCTTTACCCCCAGGATTTTTCACACCTCAGTGTTGATCTGTAACCAAATGTGTTGAATTAGTTTTCAGCTATGTTCTTTGTGTTTACAAGTAAAATACATTGTTAGAACATGCATAGAAGCAATTTCTCTCTCTCTCTCTCTCTCTCTCTCTCTCTCTCTCTCTCTCTTTTTCCAGACTGAAAACTGGATGACAAAAGTTTTCAGTCTGGTGCACTGATGAAGGGCAATTTTGTTCACAGAGACTTTAGTATCTCTTTTGTTTGTTTTTGTTTTTTCACACTATTATTTCCAAGTTATAATGCCTGCTCATAAACCTCCACATTTTTTATAATGTTTAACATTTTTTAATGCAAAAACACAGCAGGCCACTGGTGGACTGCCACTACCACCGGGCTTAGCGGTGTCTAGACATTTAGACACTTTCAGAATCTGCAAATAACTTAAAATGCCCAAGTAGACGTGTTCAAGGCTTTGTCGTGGCCAGTCACATTTACCAAACAGAGCCACTCTTCTCATTAGGAAAACAAATAAACATCAATAAGTGAGTTAATAGACTAATATTTTCATTTCAGCTTGCATTATATATTAAGATGTGTTATCACAGGGGCAGTCCTGGACCAGGTTAGATGATCCGTGACTGTTTGTTAAATGGGTTAAGTGTTCCTCAGCCTGAAAAAGTTTGAGAAACACTAAAGCCATCACTAACATGAAGCTGCTGCCCCTTGGTGCTGCAGTCCCTCAGCAGTTTTAATAGATATGGGACCATTTAAGAACAGTTAAATACTACACACACATTATGATGACTGAAAAACAGCACACTGCAATGGCGCAGTAATGCTGAATGTCATTACCGCGCCATTATTGTCAGTATCAATAAAGGTACAGTCCTGGCCCTTTATACTGGTTTTTTTTTATTTTTTATTTTTTTTAAGTTTTTACGTTAATTGGACTCAGGAAAAAATAATCAATCCAAAAAATTATTTTGTAAAGTTGAGTAATGTCCGCCCTGCGACAGACTGGCGACCTGTCCAGGGTGTACCCCGCCTCTCGCCCGAAACGTTCGCTGGAGATAGGCAGCAGCAACCCTCCTGACCCCACTAGGGACAAGGGTGTTAGAAGATGGATGGATGGATGGATGGATGGATGGATGGATGGATGGATGGATGGATGGATGGATGGATGGATGGATGGATGGATGGATGGATGGATGGATGAGTAATATCCAGCAAAAAAACACTAGTTTAACATTTAAACATATCTAGACATATTTGTGCTTCTTTTTTGTTATGCATGCCCTCAGGTGATTTTTCTTTGTTTTTTGTGCTAACAGGGCCCCACAGGACCAGCAGGTATACCAGGGCCTCCAGGACCAAAGGGAGATAGAGTAACTAACATTTTTATTGCTGATTGTCCACTTGAAAGCATAATAAAAGTGTTACATTGTTGATGCATTTTATATTTTTTCCACATGGCAACAGGGTGAAAAGGGAAATGCAGGCTTGCTAGGACCAACTGGCCTTCAAGGCATCCCTGTGAGTCGGACGCTCCGTTTTACATATTTTTTTATCCAGCATTATGGAAAACAACACATTTTCAAACTACTGGCATTATTACTGAAAGTTGTGTCTGTGTGAGCAGGGAGTTATCCTACATTACCAAAACTATTATGTAATCTGCCTTTACACATATGGATTTAAGTGACACAGTATTCTTACACAGTAAAATATTTTAACTGAGATTTTCCACTTTGAAAATACAGTCATGTACCATTCTGAACACAGTTTTTTTTATAGTTACTACATGACAGTATAGTAATTATTCTCTGAAAACTAAAATAAAAAGGTATCACCACGAGAACCATCACAATCTGGGCTGATGATGCCTCTCTGCAGCTGCAGAATTGTTTTGGAAGAACAAACTGGGACATTTTTGAACATACAGACCTGGAATTATTCACTGACAGTATTCTGTGTTACATCAAGACCTGCACTGACAATGTCACAGTACCCAGGTCCTCACAAACAAAAAGGCATGGATGACTTGCGTAGTCCAGTGGCTGCTAACATTGTTTTCAGGTGTGGGGACAAGGTCCTCTGCAGCTTGGCATGGAGCAACCGTCAAATGGAACATGGAGCCCCAGGGCAATAACAACAGCAGGCAGGTTTAGGTGGGAATCCAGTACGTCATCAACTACAGGACCAGCCATGGAGCAGCTGAAAGTGACATCTCAATAAACGGAGAAGTTGAACCACTTCTTCGCTCGTTTCGAGTCAGAGCTCCAGTGGCAGCTGTTTCGAATGCAGGAGTGCAATTAAGCACCTCTAACCTCAAGGTTTAAGAATATGAAGTGAGACGCTCGCTACAGTCTGACGACCCCAGAAAGGCAGCAGAACCTGTTGGTGTTCCTGGATGTCTGCTGAGGAACCATGCAGAGCAGAAAGCTGCGGTCTTTATGAAGATTTTTTATTGTTACCTGTCAGAGGTCAGAGTCCCATCCTGCCTGAAATCCTCCACCATAGTTCCCATTACTAAAACGCCACCCATCACCTGCCTCAACCACTACTGACCAGTGGCTCCCTCCCCATCGGTGATGAAATGTTTTAAAAGACGGTTTCAGAGTTATATTCATTCATCCAGTCCTCATACAGTGGTCACCAGGGGTCCTCCAAGAGCAATTTATATTTCTTTTTTCCCATTAAAGAATGATTTTCATATGATAAAAAAATATGTATTTATGTAAAAAAAAAAAAAAAAAAAAAAAAAAGATCTGATTTTGGTTTAATAAAGGAAACACACAAAAAACAAGTCTTTTTTTATTTTTCATTTCCATTGAAATAATAAACAAAAAGGAAAAGAGTCTGAAATGAAAAAACAAACTGCCTGATTATACATGGACCGCGTCGACTGGTTTTGTGTTGAGTTTAGCGATTTTCATTGTCTTGACATGTCAGTTCAAGCCCTTACATCGCTTCTGTCAGACTGCCCCAGGGCAGCTGTGGCTACTATCCAGTAGCTTACCACCTTCAAGTGTGTGAGTGTGTGTGTGTGAATGGGTGACTGTATTGTGAAGCACTTTGGGGCCCTCTGGACTTGATAAGGTGCTATGCAAATACAAAGTCATTTACAAAGTCTTTTATAGCTCTCATGTTACACTCATGCAGGTGTGTTGAAGTTTGTTGGCTCTGACCAGAGAAACTAGGCCTGTCACAATAACGAATTTTGCTGGGCAATTAATTGTCCCACAAATTATTGCGATAAACGATAATATTGTCATTTTAATAGCATAACAATTGCATAAGAAGGCAAATACACCCTGCCAGTGGTCAGTAATTTCAAAAGAACATTTAACAAGGGCACCGTTCACATTCAGATCCTCTGGTAGAAGTTGGGGGGAGGAGTCGCACCCCAAAGATGCCGCCCTGGGCGGTGGTCCATGTGGCCCATATCAGAAACGCCACTGCACCTCAGTGATTGTGGACTGTCACTATGACGGTCCCCAAGCAAGGAAACCTACATAGATACAGTTTAGCTACAAATATGCTGGTTGTATTGTTTAGTTGCTATTGTTTTACAACATAGCGGCTCCACAGGTTCAGTGGTTCACCTCAGTCATTCAGTTTGAATCCAAAGCGCTCCCAGACTGCAGCTGTCACGTTCGGCTTTTAAATCAGCATTTCCCCAACTCACTCCTCCTCTTCGGGCTTTAAGCTGTGGTAGGAGACCAGGAGCCCGGCCCTTGTGGGACCCGCTGTGTTACTGACAACACTGCTTGACCCACAAATTCAAATGTATTGAGTATGATTACAGATTTAAAAGTGCTATTTATTTAACATTTCTCTTTGCAGGGTTTGCAAGGACCACAAGGACTGAAAGGGAATCGGGTAAGAAATTACAAATTTCTTATTGAGAATTACAGTTGAAACCAGAAGTTTGCATCACCCACAAAGAGACACTTTTTTCTGTCTTACTGTCTGAAGTTAAATCAGTCCAAACTTCTCTTCTTTTTTGGTCAGTTAGTATTACCTCAATTATTTCTGTTTGCAAAATGTCACAATCATTTGCATATATCTCCTTAGTATTTCTTAGCATTGTCTTTGAGCTGTATAACTTTAAATGTTTTGGACATCCTTCCACGTGTTTCTCACAGCTGTTTGTTGGGGTTCTGTCCCATTCGTCCTGACAGAACTAGTGTACTATAGTGAGAATCTAAAAGTGGTATTTTAAGAACAAACAAGACATTTTTAAAAGTAATCCTGTATCACACAAGTTTTTTTTGTTTTTTTTTTCAACTTTCCTTGACATTTCGATTTGAACTTTCCTTGATAGTGACTTAGCTTCGTTGATGGTTGCATTTTCCTTTTGAGGCCGTGATAGATCAACTGGCACTACTAAATAAATCTCTGATATATTCTGTCTCTTAATGTTGTGACATGTAGAAAAAATTATAATTTTGGTCATTCTAATTGACTAAAAAAGAGAGAGAAACGTTTCACCTATTTCTTTTTATTTTTTATTTTCTCAACTTTGCTTGACTTAGTGACTTAGCTTTAAAGTTGGTTGCATCCTCATTTTGAGGATTAAATTGATCAGCTAAGCAGCAGCAATGTTGAATATGATCTCAAACCCGTACTGTAGTGACGTGGCAGTGACGTGCAGTCAGGGGAGGCGAGTGAGGCACTGCCTCACCTGTAATCCTGATAAGTAAAAAGAAGCACATGAGAAGTAAAACAGACGCTAACAATGACGAGAGAAAACCAGTTTGTCCACTTGAATTTTCTATGAATTATTTTTTTGTTTATTGGTAATTTCAACATTTTTATGGTCAAAATCACTGAATTTATGCATTGCCTCTTGAAATACATGAAAGACGATTGGGGTGAGACAGCTCAGTGCTATGCCTCACATCTGAATCACACAAGTGAATAAAGTTAGCAGTTGATGCATTCCCACTGTGGTCTCTCTTCATGTCACGTGTCAAACCCAAAAGAGTGTTTGTATATCTGTGTTAATGGAATGAATTAAGTGATGAGTTTGAAAATAAAAAGTACAAATATAAACTAGCTTAATTTTTTTTTAATTATTGAGAAATATGTTGTATAGGATGGGTGTCTCAAAACCCAAAACTGCTATTCATATTAAAAATGTATAAATAATTGTACATTTAAGGATGAGAATGAGAGATTTAAGTGTCACATAAAGTGGGAACAATTTAAGAGTTAATCTGGTGGGGAGATTTAAATGTTTAGGAATATGAGAGGGGCAGGAAATCATAAGATCTTGCGTCGTCTACCTTCTCCTTTTTGAACAAATAATGTCAAATTGCATGCCGATGGGCATGATAATTTATTTTAATTTTCTTTTCTTGCTTTTACATTTTGTCTGTTTGAAATAAATAAATAGAAACAAGGATGTTTTCTTACAACAGAGTATTTGTGGAGAAGGATAGGTATATGGACGTCTTATAGAATAAAGGTAAGATCATACATGATTCTCAGTTTAATCAGAAAAGAGAGAGGTCAAATAATAAAAAAAGTGACCTTATTAAATCTTCTTTTATTTTTGCTATTATATTGTTAGTAGCTTTAACTCGGTATGGTCAAATTTTAAAATATAACATTTGTATTTGATTTTGGATCTGATCTGACCCAGGAGTCTGTGCCTCACCAGTCATGAACCTCACCACACGTCACTGTTATGTGGGTTTGCTTAGAATATGTTCGAATAGCCTAGCAAGAAATGAAATAAAATAAAATAAGTACACACGTTAGGCAACACACATATATGTGTAATATAAACTATTTTCAGTTGTCATTTTATACAGAACATCTTAGTGAAATATTGGCTGCTAAGAAACTGCTAGTCACTCTCCTCTCTTGTGTACACCTCTTTAAATAGGTTTCATTAATATATATAAATATATATAATATACATTATACATATATAATGTATATTTCCACTCCTATCCTTGAGGTTCATAAGCTCTCCCAGCACATTCAACTGGCCTTGGTTTCTATGAGTATCCAAAATTACAATGGGACACATGAAATAAACCTACCCAATTTTAACTTCTTTAATGAAGATATTTTAAAAAAAATCAAGGCTGGGAGATAGTACTGGTGTTTTTACCATTTGTCCTGTCTTCCTTTGTTTCTGCAGGTCTTCCTATCCCCTTTTCCCTTCCTTCACCTTGTTCTTTGCCCTATGACTGCTTTTGCAGGGTTTGCCCTCCTTTCTCTTACAAACCCAGGCCTTCTTTTCCTCATCCTCTTTCCACATTCTAACATATTCCTGATTTAATCCTTTTCCTTTAAGACCTCCCTTTTCCCCACCTTTCTCAATATAACAGTAGCTATTTCTTTTAAACCACCTTCTCCCCCAAATCCCAATCCTTATTATTTACCTGAAATTGGCAATAAATAAATAAATATTAACAATTCTGCATTGGAATTTTGCTTATGCGATATTCATCTTTCATCTTGCCAACAACTGATGGTATTGGCCAGATGAATGATTCATCCACTCCTTCAGCCGTTCACTTGGTGAGTAGGGTACTCCATTAATACAGTGTTCAGTTAGTAGTTTAAGTTTTCCTACCAAACTGCACACAGCTGGGTTACAACCAATAACCAATACTGAACACTGCTCTATTTAATCAAAACCAGCTTTAGTGTCCACGTTTGTGCACACAGACAAACCATTTGGCTTTGATTCTGCTTTACTCTCAATCTACATACATTTTAAATACAAATTTATACAGTTTGGTGTGAGACATTTTTTACAGCCTTGGGGAAAAAAATCTGTCTCTGTGGTGGCTTCATTTTTTTCAAGTAGCATTCTAAGTAGCTAAAAGTCTAAATAGTTTGTGTCCAGGATGTGTGGGGTCTGCAGTGATGTTAGTTGGCCTTTTTCTGACCCTGAATGGAGGGAAAGACGGTCCTGTTTATGTTTTTTGTGGACCTCATTGCTCGTTGCACTCTGGCCATGTCATCTTTTGTGGCTGACTCAAACCAGGCAATCTTAGGCGTTTACAAGGCAGACTGAATAATGGCAGTGTAGAAGAGGAGCAGGAGCTCATGTAGTAGGTTCTTGATTTGTCACAAGACGTGGAGAAAGAACACACACCTCAAGGGCATCGTTGCTGATTGTTCCTGTGGAGAAGATGCTCTTCTGCTTCATTTGTTGTTGCTGTCAGTCAGGGAGATGGTGATCCACTTGCAGACGAAGGTCTGATGCTGTGAGCTGGAGGATGGCTTGGCTGATGGCTTAGAAGGCTGAGCTGAAATCTACAAACGGGATTCTGGCACATGTCCTTGGACAGTCAAAACTGTGCCTGATGAATTGTGGTCCCAGGCTGACTGCATCATCCACCGACCTGTTGGTCCAATAAGCACATTGGAGGGGGTCCAGGATGTTTGTTTTATTTTATATTTGCTTGTTAAGTTTTCAGTTCCCGAAACTTCTTCTGCAGTTTAGTCATTATGGGTCACAGATGAACCTACAGACTGTCTGTGACCTTGGTCTACCCATTTTGATACAAGAAGATGAATTTGTCCACAAAATAGCCTAAATTTACAGCTGAATTACTCCATAATTAACCTCTTTCGTCAAACTATTGGCATGTAATTTAATTACTGATGAAAAATACAGAAAGGAATGTGTATATTAAATGATAAAATGAGAATCAAATCATATTTGATTATCATACTTCTAGAAGTTCTCCAGTTAACACTTTGAAGGTTTTAAAAGTCCTTTTTCTGTGCCAGCAGGTTAGAAGGAAACATGTGCACTGCAGTTTGGCAGTGACGCCTACAGCTAGCTGTTAATGGATGGCGTTCTGATGCACATCTCACTATCTGCATCCCTCTCTATGTGGATGATATTAAGCTATGTGCCAAGAAGTGTTGTTATAAGTGTTGTTTAATCACTTACATGTCAAAGACACTTCATAAGAACCCTGCTCACCAAATGAGTACCTTTGACCTCCCTTTTTAATTCCTTCTGCTTACTTTTCTTTCACACCAGAAATGCTTCACGAAATCAAGGTCTTTTAAATACCTCAAAAAATTCACATCAAAGTAGTATTTTGAAATAACTTATTTTCCATGTATGCCAAGTTAAAGTGGCAGAATGTAACTTTTACAAAAAAATTGTTTTACATATTTTTTAGAACTGTCACTGCGTTGAGACAGTGAGGCTATGAAAAAATTTAGCTCCTCCATCTCCTACCAATGATACCGTTGCCATGTAAAGAAATGCATCGCTCTCTGTCAAAACAACCAATCAGAGGCAGAAGTGTCTTAGTGCTGTCAATCATCTTGTGTATGTGCTGCTCAAAGTGTTAATGACAGAGAAACAACTTAATGTTTCAGGATGACTGTTTAACGGTTGCTATGCTGGCTTGCCTGAGCATTCATGACAGCCACTGCTGTCAGGAAGAAGCTGTAGCAAAGAGCAAGGGGTAAGCAGTGCAAATAAGAGCATGACTGACAGCGCTAAGACACACCTCCTGGTTCCGATTCGTTGTTTCGAGTTAGCACTGGAAGAAGTTCCGACGAGCTTCATTTTTTTTCATAGCTTCTCTCATGTTATGCTGTCATGACATGGTGACAGTTTCAACAAATATGTAAAAAAGTTAAATAAAAGTTTCATACTGCAGCTTTAAATGTACTTCAGAGACATAAAAGTGTGTCTTTTTTTAAATACACTGTTGTTTGCAGGGAGAAAGGGGCAAGAGAGGCAACAGGGGGGCCAAAGGGGATAAGGGAGACCAAGGAGCACCTGGATTAGATGCCCCATGTCCTTTGGTATGTCAGCAAATCAATGTGGAAAGTAAAGAGGCAAAGGGAAGGACTACCACTCTGGAAAATCCCACAGTGCTTTGGTTACCCTGAACATTTGTACTTAGAAATAATCTTGCTCTTTTATTGACGATAAAAAAAAAACAAGAAGAGTTTTGGTCAGGTTTTCATACCTACCAGAAGGCAGCAACTGATATTATAGTTAATATCAATAAACCTTAATTAGAATAAACCAACGATATACATTTGAAGCAAACCATTTTTGCCTAGACATAAGACCAAAACTCTTTTTGAGGACCTGTTTATTCATAAAGAGGCGGTCAGGAGCCCGTCACTCCTGGTGAGTGTTCACAAACCCCAAAGTATGTTAGACTTCTTTAGCATTTATTTTACTTTGCCATTCTCTGGAGTTGAGATACCAGTTTGGGGAGCAGAGGGGGTCAACTCAGAAAAATATAATCCAAGTCAAATATTAAAACACTTCCAAAGAGGCAGCAAAAACGGTTTTCATTAACAAAAGTGGTGTCATCAGTTGGAGCCCATTTTTAAAGTGACTCTGCAGCCATTCGATTGAATGGAGCACTTCGCTTCATTACTCAGTGAGGGAAGATCTGCAACACCTTAGCTACAGCAATGGATCTTAAATGGCTGATTTCATAAACAGGGTTTCCGAGGCTTTAAAGGGGACAAAGGTGAACCAGGCTCGCCAGGCCTGGATGGGCTGGATGCCCCTTGTCCTGTGGTATGGTCCTCTTCCTTTCCTGTTACATCTTCAGCATGTCTGCACTGTGTATAATTCTTACTGCCAAAGGAAAAAAGATGATTAACAAAAATATTACTTCTTCCTCTAACAAGAACAAACATTTACATGATTGCTTTTTATAATTATGGCATATCTATTCTGGTATCTCACTTAAACTAACAAGCATTTCTTTAATCACTAAGGATTTCTTCCACATACACAGAAACGTATTAATGACACTAACAATATCATTAACAGTACATTTAAATTCTGACATAAAGCAGATCTCAAAATGTAAACACGTCTGTTAGGATTCCAGGTCTTTGTGTCATGAAACCACTTTAAATAACTTCTAACTTTGATATGTGTATAATGTGCACTTCAACTGAAAAAAAAAACTTAGTAAAATTTTCAGAAGACCTGCAGTAACAGTTTAGCAAAAGTATGCATCTTTCAGGTAAACTGCATATTGCTTGCATGGGGCATCACATTTTTTTCCTCATAACTTACCACAGAGAATCAGGCAAAACAAATTCTGTCCAAATGTGTCAAAGGCCTGGTGTTTGTGTGTCAGACATTTCTGATGTGCGGGGCGGATTTTCTTAAAGGTTTTGAAACCCAGATAGAGGATGTTAAAGTTGCAATGAGTGAAAGAAACCAGCAGCGCCACCTGGAATAATACTCCAGGAAAATTGGGTTGTAATAAGGACACAGGTAAGTTCTACTGGAAGAAAGGAGACAAGATTCAAAAGTTCTATGAAATTGATTAAAGTTCAATATTTAAAAATCGCTTTTTAATTTGCAATACCCTAAAACAGAATGGTTAAGGCAAAGTTAATATGCTTTAACCAAAATTGTTGGCTGAAGTAATGCATTTGAATCTCAAGGGAGGCTGAGATTTACCAATGGGGGAAGCAGTGATGAAAGGGGGGCAACGTCCAGTGAAGAAATGACTGCCCTAGAGCCCAACCACCAGGCTTAGCAAGTTTTCTGGGGGAAACCTTGAAAGAAAACATGAACACAACAACAAATACAATATTGCAGTAACTCCAGTTGAGCGGTGCCATCGACGCCCCAGCCAGCAAGGGAAGGTCTGAGTTGATCTTTTAAAATATTTTCAGAAGGCAAAACACCAGCGAACATCCCAGATTGAAAGCTGGTAAAGAGGCTCATCGGGAAGCTGTGAACTGGTAGGTCAAGGCAACCGCTATGTGAACCGATCAATAAATAAAAACAACTCGCCAAGTATGGAAGAATATATTTACATATATCTGTATTAAGGAGGGCTCCATCTTTCCTTTTCTTCACCTTTTTATTCCTCTCCATCTTTCTCCACTTCCTTTTACACTTTGAATCCATGTCACATCTCCCGCTCCTCTTCTCCTATTAGGCCAGATCCCCTGCTTGCTGTCATCGGATCTGAAAAATCTGGCCAATCAGAAAAGTTTGATCTAACTAATATGCCCCCCTGAACACAGAGAGTCAACACAATTTTTCTGTTGAGAGTATACAGATGGGTTGATGGGGCATGTTCTACTGCCCATCATGCTGCGTTTACGGGCTTGTAGAGAAATGGAAATGCGTATGGTCAGAGCTGTGCTGATCGTGTGCACAGATCGTACAGTTACTAACTCTCTCTGTGAGTTACTGTGGAAATAAAATGCATTAAATGAAAATTCTGCTTAACATCCACCAATGTCTTGTTTAGATAACAAAAGTATTTTTGAATGTTTTTCATGAAATGCATCAACATTTGTGATAGATGTTATTTACACTGACATTTTATCCATAGCATGCATATGGAAAACTCAAACAAGTCAGTAAAGTTCGAGCCACAAGTACATCTCCAATATGTTGGTAGTTTAACATTTGACTCTCTATGGATGTTCATGTTTGAAATATACTTTTGAAAGTTGCTTTAGAACATTAGTTTATTTTTACTGTCATTTAGCCGAATAAAGAGCCGTAAACATAATTCTTACATTCATTGTTGCAAGTTTTTACATAATTCATCATGGAACGATACCTTTGATTTTCTTCCCTTGTCTTCTGTCTCCAGGGGGATGATGGCTTACCGGTCATAGGCTGCTGGAATAAAGTAAGTGTGATTCTGTCTTAGTGCTCGTCTCACGTTTATGTAGATTGCAACATCACCACTAACATATCTTGCAATTTGTTCTCTTTTGCAGTGATCATAACCTTGGAATGGCTTTTGTGTCTGTTAAGAATATATTTATTCATTAATATATTTATTTATAATATATATATATATATATATATATATATATATATATATATATATATATATATATATATATATATATATATATTAGAATATATGTGTGCCTGCGTGCGTATGTAGGTAGGCAGACATATAGATAGATGTCTGGAAAAAATGAAGAGCCCACTTCACTGAACCCCATTGAAAATCTCAGTTATTCCACCAAATATTGATTTCTGAACTCTTCCTGAGTTCAAACATCAGTATTGTTGTTTTCTTAGCACTATTTGAGCTCTGAAAGCACTGGGTCTTTTTTTTTATTATTCTGACCATTTCTCATTTTCTCCAAATAAATACTACATTTTTGCTTGGAATTTCAGAGACATGCTGTCAGTGGTTCATAGAATAAAAGAACAATGTTCATTTTACTCAAACATATACCTATAAAAACTAAAATCAGAGAAACTGATCATTTTAAGTGGCCTCTTATTTTTTTCCAGAGCTGTAGATAGATAGAGACGCGCACACACACACGCACGCACACACAGTCCGGTCTCTACCCCTTAAGTAAAGAACATCATAAACTAAGCTTATTATGAACAGATTCTCTGCCCCAATGAGCAGCAGGATGCTCCAGTGACAGCGGCTCTCTGACTTTGCGGGATGAACCGACATGGATAGACTCTCATCATCCGAATGCAACTTGAACTAGATGTTTCCAGATGTTGTCAAACTGTATGTTTATAAGAGCATAAAGCTGCCAAGGTTCAACACGCAGGGTGAGAAGCCCGGCGTCATGCCGCACCATACAGGTGTTGTATTGTTTTTAAGAATCTTTTTAGCACTAGTTGCCTTTATTTGTCAGTAGAGGGAGAGGCGTCTACAGTCTATGTGGGGTGACCGCTCTGACCACTGCACCACGCAATGCCACTATTCAAAAAAAGAAAGAAAGAAAGAAAGAAAAACACTATATGAACTTATTATTAGGCCCTCCAATTCCCCTCTCCTCCCCTGGTCTTTGCTTCTACAGTGACATTAACTCACCATCATTGAAATGACATCTAGAAATTTGATGTATATTTTATTGAAATATTCAAAGTGATTTTTATCTATTGCTGATTGTTGTTCCATTGATACCTGTAGACCTAGCCTTTGTGAGTGAATGATTTTTTCCTTACTTTTTCCCTATTGAAAAAATAGTGTATTTAAGTACATTTTAAATATGCTGCATTTTTCCAAAAATAGATTTCTAGTATGTTATTGAATATACTTATTAAGATTATATTAAAAATGTAAAATACATGTAAAAAAAAAAAAAACAACCCGATGGCTATCAGTTTGGCTGAGTTGACCTTCACACCTGCATCTAATGCCTAAAGTAGCTTCACGTTTTAAAATAAGACTTAATCCCAGCAGCTACACAGCGATGCACCGCTATAGCCATCAATCCAAAAAAGAAAATGGACAGACCAAAAAAAAAATATCAGCAAATGTTTCATGTTTTCTCCATCTTATGTTTTCTACTTTGCAACATGTACATCTTTTATCTCGTTAAAAAAAAAAAGTCATCTATAAAAGCAGAGGGCACATTAACACAGAACAACGTTTAACCTGAGGAAATTGAGCATTTGCAAAAACAGCTGGTGTGTTTTTGAGAGAAAGTTTTAACCACCTAAAGAAAACTGCACATGAAATATTTCCTTTTAACTAAGTGCTTAATGATTAACCTGTTTTGACCTGTTTGTCTGAAGGGTCAACATCCTTTCCAACTGGCTAGAAAGTAGCGCTGCCTGCCAAAGACAATTTAGTGAAGCCAGAGGAGAAAAAACTTGAAGCGATATTGAAACGTCTTGGGAGTTTTTTGTTTTGTTTTTGTCAAACCTGTTGACGAACACAAAGCCTGCTTTTTGAGTCCTGGGATGCAGAAAGGCAGAGGAACGCCAGCATCCTGCACCAGGTTGCCGAGGATCCAGCAGAGGAGCACACAGGGAGACGATGTCTGAGGATTTCTCTCCAGTCTTCTGTTATTGTTTTCTGTTTTCTGATTAAATAATTTTTGACCTATGGCGCTGAAGTTGGAGCGAAATCGAGGAATGGAATTTATTTATTACTTTTTGATAAAGACTTCTTACGAGCAGCACGCCACACAAATTAACATTTTGTGTTTCCTAAAAAAAAAAAAAAAAGCGATCATGATTCCTATTAATATAGTCTGATTAAGATTATTTTTGTGCAGCTATTGCACATTAACTTGTGTTAACATTTGTGCTATTTCCATAAAGAGCATAATGTCATGACTGGTGACATTTTTAACATTCTTTCTTTTTTTTTTTGTACTGATGTGTTTTACATTTTATGTCTATACTTGTAAATATTTTACAATTTCATTACTATGTATTTAAAGGTATTTAAAAAGTGTTGATTTTTAAATATACTGTAGAAGTTTGTTATTTTGATTTCAGGCTCGTTCAGAGCTGAATGACTGCTGGTGTGGGAATTTGGGCATTTGATTCCGGACTGGGCTTGAGCCTCCCTGCGGTGTGGAAAGTACTGTTGAGATCTAGAATGAGAAACCGCTGGATGTATTCTGTACAAGTGAAACGTGGTTCGCGTTCATGTGTTTTGTGCATATAGGATATGTCTCCTGTTGTCGTTCTTTTGAATTCAGAATGCAAAGCCATAGTAAATAACAGAAAAAGTAGGTCTTGTTTCATTAAAAAGAAAAAGACACAGACGTATTCCTAATGTCATATTTTTCCCTTTTTTTAAGCGTACTTTTTTGCATGTTTTTATTGAGAGCAAAGTAACAAATACAGTCAGATTTCTTGTTTGTGAACACAAACTGGTCAATGGGGTGATTCTGATTCTGACAGGCGGAGCGAGGGATGCATCCTGGGTACTGATACTTTATAGGTCACAGGCGCATGACCTTCTAGCAGATTTTTCTCTCTTTTGTTGCTTCATACCAGACCTTATAATGGATTCAGTTTTGAGTGTTATTTTCAAGGTTCACTAGTAGCACTACTTACTGCCTGTCCTCGCTCTTGGAGCATAATGGCAGCTGGTTTGTCAAAAGGCCCCTTCGATACAAGCTGAAATGCTTTTCAAAGTAACAAATACATCTGGGCCTTTTGGATCTTTGCACATTTTTAGAGTTGCCAAGTTTCGGAAAAAGCTTTTTTTTTTTTTTTTTTTTTCACAAAATATGTACAATGTTACAATGTAAAGTTGGCAACAATTGCAGCAAAGTTTTTATTTTCTTTTGGTAATTTTCTATATTTTACAATGTTAATGAATTTGTCTATCGAGGGTTTTAAATGCAATCCACAATTTTTTTTAAAAATGTGTTTGTTGTATTTTAAATTAATGTGATTTGCAAGACTTCATTGTTGTTCTCATTTAAAATTTTTCTGCTTTTTTCCGAACCCAAAATGTCCTCAATTTGACATGTACATAAGGATTCCCAATAAATACCAAATTAAAATAGTAAAGAGCATAATGCAGACTTGTTTTTTATTATTATTATTTTAAGGTGTATCAACTTTTTAAAACTGCACAGGAAACCTGCACAACTGAGGGTGATCTGTCGAAAACACCACCAGATGCTTATGGTGACAATGGCGGACTGAGTTCATCCCTCAATATTTTCTATAAATTTTATCAGTGTTGTGTTCAAGACCACCCAACCCGAGACCAAGACAAGACCAAAACCAGAGTGTA